TCATTTATACTTTGTAGTTTGTTCCTATGGGTTCTATCGGTTCTAACAAGAAAAATCCTTCCTTCACCTTCATTCAAAATAAAATATCAAGAACGTGTTAAAACACGTTACACACAGAGACAATAGATCTCAATTTCTTTTATTGCAATTGAAACACGTGTCAACTATGTATGTATGTCTAAAACTGCTATTTCTCTAACAGAAAAATGTAAATAATACCAAAACGGAAACAATAACCCTGACAACGACAATAAGTTTTTAATACAAAATTAAAACAAGGTCATTAAAAGGTGAATATTATACCATTCTTGCAACCTCCCTTACTATTAAGTAAAGGAAAATTTCTATTGAAAATATTAGAAATTTATTACACCTTAACACAAGGAAGTATACAATTTCATCAGCAGCATCAAAAGAAAACATTTTCTTTTTTGCCCCAAAAAAAAAATAATAAATAAATGAAATGTCAAATAAAAATGTAGAAGAATTTTTAAAAGAAAAATAAAAGAAAAATAAAGCATTTATGCATGGCATATTAAGGAAAATAAAGAAATTTAAATGATTTTTTTTTCGAAGAAGAAAAACATATCAAAAGAATGTAGTTAGAGAATCATTTATAGGAAGTGTTGAGCAAAAAAAAACATATAAAAGAAAATGAATTTTCTTTAAATATTAGAAATAAATGTATGAATACAAGGGTATTTGTGTTGAGAAAAGGAATTGACTTAAAGAAGAAATTTTAATCCTGAAAAGGGAAACAGCATTTGGCAAATACTGAAGAATAAATACTTTGAAGTAAATCATAACATCATCTCCATAAATGTGAAATTTAGAATATATTTTGTTGTAATTTTCTAAAAAAATAAATATTTTTTAATTCTACTTTATTTTCACATCCTGGGAAGTTCGATTCCTTTTTCCAGTTGTAGAAAAGATAGACAAAGATGTCTCTTATAATAAGCCTTCGTTTATTTGTATAAAAAACTAACTAAATCCTTCAGAGAGCTCTTTTCTTATTTTCAGCCTTTGATCTGATTTTGATCTCTGATTGCGAGGAATGAGCATTTTCCCAACTTAACAAATGTTAAATTTTTAAATCAATTTTCTGAGTAATTTGTATTTAATTAAAAACAAAACTCCCACTGTTTTCCATGCCCCCCCTTACCCTTGCACTAATTTTTATGTGTTTAACAAACAATTTAAATGTCAGCCAGACATTTTATAAAAAAACTTTAATAAAAATTAAAGAATTTTATGTTTAAATATGACAGACACCCTTGAACCCTTAAACTTGAAATGCTTTTTGTACATTTTTGCCAAACACGCAAAAAAATCTTATGAACGAAAAAAAGTCTAAACTTTATGAGACACTGGCAGTATGTTTCACGTTTAAAGTATAAAATGAAATTTTCCAAAAAACTTATTACGAACATAAGACTAAAATTTACAAAAGAAAGAAAATATAATTTTCTTATAAAAGCAAAGAAAGGCTGCTAAAGATGATTTTACCACCTTTACCACGGGCACATACACGTGAATGCTCCATAATAAGCATGTAGTCGAATGTATGTTCATATTTGTTTGAATAAATATTTTTATAAAGGTTTATACGAGGGCAGTTTTAAAAGGCGTTTTACGCAATTAATAACAAAAGGACAAATCAGCTTTAAAACAGAGATCTAAAGAAGAGCTTTCGTAAAAAAACAAAGTTTAATTTCGATAGAATCTAATGTTCCTGGACTTTGATTGATTCAATCATTCTCCGGCAATTTTATAAATTGGATTAAATTCCCATATTTTCATTTTCGAACTAGGAATCACATACTGATGAAATTTTAGAAATTCTGAAAGATTGTTTCAAGATTCAGAATCTTATACATTCTGGAGAAGTCATAAAGAAAGATGTAGATTCCTTTTCAGACGACCCTCGTTAAGAGCTACTTGTATTCTGTCTGATTTTTTTTAATATTATTAAAAATTACATTACAGTTCATAGGTGACATCTTTAAACATAAATACACACATGTAAGCATACCTATACAAGGATATTTTCAACACATAACTATATTCATCCCATATCTAAGGATAACTCTGTGTCTGTATGTTATGTTTGCATTTGAAATATTTTCCTGTCTGTTCCCTTTTTTCTCCATTCACTTATTGTTCATTGGTGAATACAAATCATAAAGGAAAAATAATTTTGAATTAAAATGTAAGCAATACATGAGTAAATTTATGCTCTGCTTCTATTCTGTCTGTTTAACTCAAAACGCTCAACGCAAAAAAGGATCCCAACACAATACATCTACATACATACATATGTAGCATGCCACTAACTGTGTGTTTATAAATGAGTTTAGGTGTTAAAGTCATGCTTTTTTTTAAACAACATTTTGTTATGTTCACGTTACGCTACAAAAGTTTTTACCCCGACAGACAGACAACATGCAGCAGTGTCGTAATAAATTTCCTAACACGATTATGCTATTCAAGGTAAATTTCTATATATTCAGCCTTTTCCTTTTGACTGTAATTATATTGTTGTCTTCTGAACACAGGCCTGCTACTTATCATCATACTTTACCTTCCTCTATGTTAATGTACCTGGTGTGACCAAAAACGTTTAATAATATGTAAATCTCTTTTGTTATCAGCATAATATCAGCCAAAAACTTTTGTCTAATGGGTTTTTATTTAGAATAAAATGCTGCGAAAAAAAAAAACTTATCACCAACTTTTTCCCCACCAAATACGTTGTATGTCAAATGACAGCAAATGAAATCGTTACGCTTTTTTGCGGAAACTGTTTAAAAATCAGGAAAAAAACTAAAACACACATAAATTTCCCCAAAGGTTTAGAAATTATGAATTAAGATGAAAATGTTAATATTTTATTTTAAGAATATTATATTTTTGGAAAATGTTATTCAAAGAGAGATATTAAAATGTGAAATTAAAGCTGTTATCAAGAGTTTGCCTTAAGGAATTTAAAATCACTTTGAGTTATGAAAAGTTTATAAAAGAATTTTGAAATTAGTTTGTAACACAGGCTTAAATTTAAAGTTTGGTTAAAATGTCCTATTTTTTCTAAACATCTGCTGCCCTTAAGTATGCCCTACTTTTTAAAATTATACCCAATATGAGCCGAGAAAGAAAGTTTTTAAAAAATAATTCCATTATATATAGAGTATACAAGAGTCTAGATCATACAAAAACTTCTCAATTGCTTCAGCTATAGGATAAAGTCTGGACTATACAGTTCTTTTTATTCTAAACTATTCAGATCTTTATAGTCTTCATTATAGATTTCTCTATATTCTGGACTTTAGGCTCCTCTGTAGTCCGACCTATAGACTCCTCTGTAGTCTGGACTATAGACTCCTACATAGGCTAATATTTGGTCTGAACTATAGGCCAATATTTAGTCTGAACCTTAGACTAATCTATAATCTGGACTATAGACTAATCTATAGACTGGATTATAGACTAATCTATAGTCTGGATTATAGACAAATCTATAGTCTGGACTATAGACTAATCTATAGTCTGGACTATAGACTAATCTATAGTGTGGACTATAGACTAATCTATAGTCTGGACTATAGACTAATCTATAGTCTGGACTATAGACTAATCTATACTCTGGACAATAGACAAATCTACACTCTAGACTATAGACTAATCTATAGTCTGGACTATAGTCTAATCTATAGCCTGGACTATAGTCTAATCTATAGCCTGGACTATAGACTAATCTATAGTCTGGACTATAGCCTAATCTATAGTCTGGACTATAGACTAATCTATAGTCTGGACTATAGACTAATCTATAGTCTGAACTATAGACTAATCTATAGTCTGGACTATAGACTAATCTATAGTCTGGACTATAGACTAATCTAAAGTCTGGAACATAGGCTAATCTATAGTCCATACTATAGACTGATCTATAGTCTTGACTATAGACTAATCTATAGTCTGCAACATATGCTTATCTGTAGTCTTAACTATATACTAATATATAGTCTGGACTATATACTAATCTACAGTATGGAAGATAGGCCAATCTATAGTCTGGAACATAGGCTAATCTACAATATGGACTATAGACTAATCTATAGTCTGTAGTCTGAACAATAGACTAATCCATAGTCCGCTTTATAGCCTAACACTATATATTCTGGACTACGGAATGGAAGAGTCTATAGTCTGTATTATAGATTCCTCCATAATCTGGACTATAGACTCCCCTATAGTCTTGACTGTAGACTAATCGATTGTCAAGTCATTGGATTAATTTATAGTTTGGACTATAAATTAATCTATAGTCTGCGTTGTAGACCTGCGCTCTGAATATATGTTTCCTATAGTATGATCAATATAGTCTTTCATTTTCTGGACTATAATGTCTTCTGTATACTTTTCTATAGTATAGAGTTCTAATATATTTTTATTTCCTTTTAGTACATTATTTCTCTGAACTATAGAAATCTAAAATTTTATTCAGAGTTTTTCACATTGAAACGTTTCTTCTCAAATTAATGACAAAATCTCTTATTTTTGTCGTCATTTAGATAAGGAGAGATTGACACTCCATCAATTGCTGTCAAGCTATCTATGTGGCAGCAATTCAACTTCTTTTATTTCTCATTTATTGTCTTTTCCTTTGTTAACTTTTTCTCCATATACTTAATACATATTTTTTATACACTTAACTCCATTTTTTAAACTATTTACAGGTATGAAACCACGCATTAAAAATCATTTTCGTGCCCATCAATTGTCAATTTGGTTACGTTTGATACCAGAACTCCATCGCACGGGCATGGAGGATGTGATAGCACGTCACAATTTATTTCGTAATCATGATGATATGGATTTGTATGAAGGACCCGTCAAACCAGATCCATTTGCCTCACAACGTTTGCTGCTTATCGATGAGGCTCTAATGAAAAAAGGCCGTAGCAATAATACCGGTTACGTGGCTGGCGTTTTGGGTGGTAAGTGCAAATAATAAAAAAAAAGGTATTTACAAAAGAAATCTTATTTAAAAGAAATATACAAATAACAATGTCACATTAAGTACACAAAAATTTTACGATTTCTAAAATACTAACATACTTTAATGTTGTTGTAAAACATATACTTAAGGTGAATAGAGAACCTACAACAAGAATTCTTGACTTGAAGGCAAACAACCCAAAAAATACAAGATGAATTTTTATAGTAACGGATTCAGGTGTATAAAATATTAAATAACTGGTGTTTGTATGTAGGTGTGTTAACAATAGATTTAAGTAAATTTCAGTTTTTATTTGTATAAATGTTTTCAAGTGTAACTACAGATGTGTGTGTGTGTAGGTGTGTTAGTTATGCTTTCCAGCCATATTTAAATCAAATATTTTACGTTATTCAACAATAACAACTACAACAAAAAATTAAATAATAAAGTAAAACCTTAGACAAGTATAACTTTAGGCTCTATTTCTTATACAAATGCTTTCATTACATTTTACAAAAGTGTGTGCGTATTTAAGAATAAGTATTTTAGATTGTATGTATAGATATTATAATAGTGTACGTGTGTTTTTGATAGTCACCCACTCACACTTTTTTCACTCACTACTCACTCAGTCAGTTTTATTTAACCTAAACTGAAAATGCCTTATAAGTTTTCCTTCTCTCTATATATGTTTTTATTCTTATCATGAGGCACGTGTGTTTTTCTTAAAAGTGTGCATGTATAGGTGTATGTTTAAAGGAACAGACACCTAGAATTGTATTCATCTATACCTTATTCTCCAGTCACTAACGTATTCTCACTCCATCACTGTTTTTCTTTATGTTCGTACATGTTAGTTACAGCTGTCGTTTAATCTTTATTGACAAACGTTAGATTTCTTTGCAGAAAAAAATAAAAATTATATTCAAAAAATCACACACTTTACACATACATATTTACTTTCAATGACACTTCAAATAAATGAATATTCATGTATGTTTAAGAGGGCAGATGGCAAAAGGTTCTTTTAAGTTATGGAAAATAAACATAAGTTTCATATGTTCGACAACATTTTTAACCTTTTTTTAACCCTATGACATACAAAACTATACCGCCAAACTTTTTAAAGGTTTGAGTGGACTACAGAACTTATTTAGATTATTTTTAAAAAACATAGCCTGGACTATAGATTTCTCTGTACCCTGGAACATAGATTACTCTATATTCTGTGTTATAGACTCCTTTATATTCTATATTTTATACTCCTTTATAGTCTAGGCTACAGACTCATCAATAGTCTGGACTACAGACACCTCCTAGTGTGGACTATGGACTACTATATGGTCTGGACTATAGACTCCTCTATAGTATGGACAATAGATTTCTATATAATCTGGATTGTAGACTACTCTATAGTCTAAACTATAGACTGTAGATATTTCTATAGTCTGGACAATAGACTCCTCTGTAGTCTTGACTATAGACTCCTCTATAGGCTGGACTATAGACACCTCTATAGTCTGGACTATAGACACCTCTATAGTCTGGACTATAGACACCTCCATAGTCTGAACTATAAACACCTCTATAGTCTGGACTATAGACACATCTATAGTCTCGACTACAGACACTTCTATAGTCTCGACTACGGACACTTCTATAGTCTGGACTATAGACTGGTCTATGGACACCTTTATAGTCTGCACTACAGACACCTCTATAGTCTGGACTATAGACACCTCTATAGTCTGGAATATAGACACCTCTATAGTCTGGAATATAGACACCTCTATAGTCTGGACTATAGACACCTCTATAGTCTGGACTGTAGACACCTCTATAGTCTGGAATATAGACACCTCTATAGTCTGGACTATAGACACCTCTATATTCTGGACTGTAGAAACCTCTATAGTCTGGACTGTAGACACGTCTATAATCTGGACTGTAGACACCTATATAGTCTGGACTGTAGACACCTCTATAGTCTGGACTATAGACACCTCTAAAGTCTGGACTGTAGACACCTCTATAGTCTGGAATATAGACACATCTATAGTCTGGACTATAGACACCTCTATAGTCTGGACTGTAGACACCTCTATAGTCTGGACTGTAGACACGTCTATAATCTGGACTGTAGACACCTCCATAGTCTGCACTATAGACACCTCTATAGTCTGGACTATAGACACCTCTATAGTCTGGAATATAGACACCTCTATAGTCTGGACTATAGACACCTCTATAGTCTGGACTGTAGACACCTCTATAGTCTGGACTGTAGACACGTCTATAATCTGGACTGTAGACACCTATATAGTCTGGACTGTAGACACCTCTATAGTCTGGACTATAGAAACCTCTATAGTCTGTACTTAAACTTATATATAGTCTGAATTACTGACTATTCTAAAGTCTGGGCTGTAGACTCCTCTATAGTCTGAACTATAGACTTCTCTACTAAATTTTTACTTTACTCAAAGTTTAAGTAATTCTGGAATATTTTGACATTTTATCTTAAATTTTAAAGAGACTTTATAAACTACCCTCATATTATTATATTAGTTTATTTCTATGTATGTGTGAATATCTAAATAAACAAAGTTTATAACATGACATTATATTTAAAAATATATTTAACTACAATTGCAAAGAAAAAACTCTTTTTTGGAAATTATTTACAGAATACTTATCTAAATATGTAAATATTCAGGTTTATTTATCAGTATACATGTAATTGAAAACATAGTTAAAGAGTTCAAGGCAATTTGAAATAAAGTATTTCTACTTTAATATTTAACAAAATAATCAAATAACCCAATGAAAGGCAAGCCTTTAGACAATAAAAAAATTAAATTAATAATTTAAAAAAAATCAATAAAATTTGATAAAAAGAAAGAAATCCTTTAAAGGTCACAAAAAAACAATAGAAAAATTTTATTAATAATTTAATAAAATTTTATAAAAATAAAAAGTTTTAAAAATTTTAAACTTGATAAAGGTCATAGTCCACAAAAAACATTACCTAACAATATATCCTTAATAAAATTAAATTGTAATGTGATGTTTTTATATTTCTTTAAACCATATAAAATTAATTAAAGAAATCTCTCTTTTTTAATATATTTGTATTCTTCTTTAAATAAAATTTTTATAAACCAACAATGTCACAAGAATCTATTTAATTATGATTTGTAATCTTTTGCAAATTTGTTAACATGCTCTTTATAACAAATGCCAGGACTTAAAAAAACAGCATGTAGTATAGATATGTATATCCTTATACATCCCTCCAGTAGCTTTAGATGATCTCTCAACCAACATATTATTTATCTTGATATCTTTTCCTTTTTTTTTTTGTTCTATATGCATGTCAGAGCATTGACCACAATAGTCAGCATTATTTAAATAAATGTAAAAGATACACATACAAAGTTACAAACGACTACCAGAAGTATTTGTCTAAAGTAGAAATTAAATTAAAAATTTTTGAAAAAAAAAAACTAGTAAAACAAAGATTTCTTTCTCTGTTTTAGTCACATTTTGTTGTAGTTTTGGACATTTTAATGCTGAGAAAAAGAAATCATTGTCAGGACATTAAAATGAAAGCATATAAATAGAATTTATTCAAAAAATCAACATGTCTTTGGGTTACAAAAATTCTTTGAATTTAACATGATGAGTTGTGGAAAATATCTGTGAGGGAGAACAGTGGTTGGATTGGGATCTTTTTGAGAAAATAAATAATTGCTTCAGTATTAGTTTTCAAAGAAATGTTAAGATTCTTGAAAAAGTTATTTAAAATTGTATTTTGAAGGATATTTTTTAAATTCTTCGAAAATATTTTGTTTACTTTACTTTTTAACTTTTTTAATTTAAACAATTTAAAAATTTGTTGTTTGACAAAGTTTTTTATTAATACAGACAAAATACATAATGATTCACCAAAAATCCAGTTTACAACGAAATCAGATTTTTATTTTATTTTTCCGTTGAAAAGGTGCTGAAAACAATCCACTGTTTTCAATACTTAACATCTGTAACAAGAAATAAACCATAAAACTAGCAACGACTAAACGGACATTCTTCTCTAAAGTCTCCAACCCACACATCAAACCAAATCCTCTGCCAACAGTCACTGTCCTCCAGCCGCCCAACAGATATTGTGCCAATGTCAGCAATTTCACATAACTGACCAGAAGAAAGAATAATTTTTGCCAGAGGACGAAAAAAAAAACGTCTACCTAAAGATTGAAAACAATTGAAATCCTTCAGCATGTAGAATGTTTCAACTCACAGCGAGCTGAAACAAGTTAAAAAGAAAAAAAAAAACAAGTAAGAAATTGTAGTTGTACCTATGCGACATTATGATACTCTACACTAGCTAAAGTTTAGTATGATTTGAGACAAATATGTAAGAAAATTCGAAAGTCAATATGATATTCTCATGGTACTGATACATACATTATTTACATAATATAAACTATATGTAAACAATGAATTAGCAATAAAATATACTTATTTCATAACAGGGATAACATTTGATTAGATAATTCCCATAGTTTACATTATTTACTCAATGTAAAGAATTGGTAAACAATGTTTTATTGAAGAAATATATTAAATTTCTTAGAGGAAAACTAATTGACTTGATTTTTCCTAAATTATACATTATTTACATAATGTAAATAATGGGTAAACAATAGGTAAACAATGTAATATTAATATAACACATTGTATTAATTACTGTAAAGTTAGTTTGACTTGATTTCTTATAAATATTTACACAATCTAAACAATAAACATTTCATATGTAGAGAATAGTTAGATTAGAATTTTCCATTAGTTTACATTATTTACACTATGTAAGCCATAGGTAAACAAAGTATTATTGAAGAAATAAATACATTTTATTAGTCGAAAATTGTTAGTCTTAAATTTTCTAAGAATATACATCATTTACATAGTGTAAACAATAGGTAAACAATGTATTAT